GGAAATTTGATCCCTGCCGATGTTTTCGCATCCTAGGTTGCTAAAGTGCCGCCAGGCTCGAATTTCCCCAAAATTCCTGAAGCTTGTAATGCGAAAACATCGGCATGGATCGAATTTGCCCAAAATTCCTAAACTCCTGGCATCTATGGGGAGTGGCGGGGCGAGAAATTTTGGAGAAATTTGATCCCTGCCGATGTTTTCGCATCCTAGGTTGCTAAAGTGCCGCCAAGCTCGAATTTCCCCACAATTCCTGAAGCCTGAAATGCGAAAACATCGGTAGAAATCAAATTTCCCCAAAATTACCAAAATCCTGGCATCCATGGAGAGTGATGGGGCAAGAAATTTTGGTGAAATTTCATCCCTACCGATGTTTTCTTATCCTAGCTTATTAAAATACCGCCAGGCAGGCAGGCAGGCAGGCAGGCAGGCAGGCAGGCAGGCAGGCAGGCAGGCAGGCAGGCAGGCAGGCAGGGGGAGGGAGGCAGGGAGGGGGAGGGAGGCAGGGAGGGAGGGGGTGGAGGTAGAGGTAGAGGTACTACCCAAAGAGTCCGAGACATCACAGTTGCTGGGCCTGCGGGAGCTGCGGGCCCGGGCCCCCGCCAGAGTGCTCAGCACCAGGAGCGCGACGGAGGTGCCAAGACGCGACATGGCAACGAATCACCAAGGAGAGACTCGAACTCCGGCAAGCTTGCGCATGCGCGTACTTGATAAATGTCCCTTGTGCAAGTGTTTTTTTCTCCTATTAACTGACTGCCCCTGTAGAAAGGTCCTGAGCCAGAAAAGGAGTGCCTGAGCCTGCTGCTCCCTGCTGCATGTTACGTCAGCAAGGGCAAGCGCCTCACCCTGACCGTGCCGCAGCCCGTGTAGGTACTCGCCCACGTAGCTGCGGAAGCCTCGGACACGCTTGCAAAGAGCGGAGAGTCTGCAGGGTAGGGCACTGTAGGGGCTCGTGCCAAGGCGGCGCTGCAGGGCTTCAGGAATGGAGGTGGTGCCATTGCCGTGCCGCCTTAAGGACTCTCTCTAAGATCGTTCCGAAGGCTTTCCATAGCGCAGATTCTTCCTCTTGTGCCGGGTACGTGCTGCAAAGAGGGCACACAGACCGCCTGGCTGAGTAAGGTATCACAGTACTCAGCACCTGGGTGAAGACTTGGCGTGAAAATGCCCTTTGGGGACGGCAGGCTGAGAGGCTGCCTCGAAGCCCTAGCAAACGGTGAAAGCCCCTCTTCAGGAGCCGCCAGCGTTACAAGTTACTTTTGAACTCGCTGTCAGCGCACTTCAGCGCCATCATCTCTATACACTCCAGAGGCTCTCTAGTGTTTTGCTAGGAGCTGCTTCGTGAACTCATAGGTCCTCGGTCGAGCTGCTACAGGTGCGACACGGGCCAAGGCTTTCGCCAGAGCTGAGGCCGTGTCCCTAGCATGATGCTGCCTCAGAGAGTCTGACTGGCACTGGCAGAGACACGCGGGGCAGGGTGGGGGCGGTGGGGGTCGCGTGGTGACAGTTCTCAGTGATCGGCAGGCTGGAGCCACGCGCGCCACACGAGGGGTGCTGCCCGTGAACAAGGAGCCAACACCTTGCAAGCAAGGTGCAGACGAGACATGCTGCGCTGCGCTGCCACATGCTGCCACCCAGCCTTCCCTTTGAGTCAGCTGGACCATGTCCTTCCACAGACTCTGTTGGCTCCGAGTGGCCTCTCGAGTACAAGACTAAAAAGAGAGGCCCCGCCCACTTCGAAAACGTCCCCCACGTGTGCCTGCACCTGGCGCCGCGTTTTCACGACGTCGAAGGGTGTGGTCACGAAGGCGGCGGCGGCCCCGGCACAGGAGCTGGCGGCCAAGGCGACCAGCGGGCTGCGATACTTCGAGTCCCGCAGAACACCTGCGAAGCGCAGTTCTGCGTCCCCACAGCCCCTGGCTGCCCCTTTGCTGCCCCTGGCTCCCCCGCGCCTCGCGCGAGCAGCGCGTCTCGAACGGCCTCGACCCCGAGCCAGTAGAAGGCGCTGAAAGGCACATCCCGCCAGAGGGTGCTTTCCAGTCCACGAAAGAGGGCTCTCCAGCCCTCGTGCCTCAGGATATCCTGACAGGAACACACCGAGTTCGCTCAAGTCCGATCCCGCTTTGGGCTAAGTCGTCCTGCAGAGCTGCTCCAATGCTAGGACGTCCATTGCTGCCGCCAGCCTAGCGACAAAGACAGGCCGAGCATTTCGTTGAATCGCGCTTTTGGACACGCCGTCCTGAAGACGGGTCCGAACTACCTCCAGGGGAGCACAGGCACTGACCGCCACGGCACGACCGAAGCCGCCGGCGATCAGAGGAGCCAAAACTCCTGAGCACAGGCTGAGAAGATGCCTGCCGGCTGCAGCGGCAGAGTGGCCCGGCCTGGGCCCGCTGGAGCTTCCGAGGAGCCGGAGCGCTGCGCGCGCAGGGTGCGCTGTGCTAGGATGTAGTCCCTCAGCGACTCGTAGGTGGCAAAGTAGAGGACGTTCGCGGGCACCGCGATGAGCATGGTGACGGGAAGCCCCGCGTAGAGGCCTTTGACCCCTGCCTCCCTGTAGATGCTTCTCAGAGTGCTCAGCATGCTCGGCCTGCCGCTTCTGCCTGGCTGTGGATCTCTGGTGAGGTGCCGCCATTGCCGGCATCGGATGTCGAAGGTATGATCCGTTATGCCATTCCCACACACGAAGAAGCGGCTCGGAGCCTGAGAGGCCTGCGCTTGCATGCGCACCTCAGCAGAGGGCTCAGATGAGGGCTCGCGTCAGCTGGTCGCAAATTCGCTGCGCCTTGGCCACGTCCAAGGGTGTGACAATGAGCCCGACTGCCTCGGAGGGAGGGCACAGCACTCGGAGCCCCCGAGACGGAGTCTGAGAGACGGACCACAGAGCCTTCAAAGCGGGAGGCGGGCTCACTGTTACAGTTGAAACAAATCCAGTTCGAGACGAGCCCTGTCGTGCCGTGCCTGCACAAGCTGAGAGCAGTCGGCCGGAAGCACCCACTCCGCCCATACCCACTTCCATGCTCAAGGACCTGGCACGGGAGGCAGTGCAACCCTGTGCAACGCGAGCACATCCCAAAAAGCGCCGCCGCCCCGCACCTCCAAGCCCCGAGTTCGCTGGGCGCGAGGAAGTGAGGCAGGCACGACATGAGAGCGGCGAGAGCGGGGCCCTAAGGCGAAAAGCCGACCACAGCTTTGCTGCTTTGCTAATTCACGTTTGGCCCATAGCCGCCATGCTGGCCCCCGTGGCTTCAGGGCAAGCTGGGGCACAAAAGGGGTCTGAATTGTTGAAGAGCCTTTCCCTAATCAGGCCTTGAGATCCTGCGACGCAGCTATACAAGAACGAAGTTGCAAGTACGACAGGTGCATCAGGCTCCCGGCCGTCCTCCGGGCTGAGAGAAATCCCCCTCGTAGATGACTCCTGGGCCCAGCGCAGCTGCGAAGGGCAGCTGCAAAGTCGCCGCACTTGCTGGGCGCCCCCAGCCGTTGGGCAGCGAGGCCCGGCCTTGCGGGGCCCGGAGGCCCCGGTCGAAGGTGCCCTCGAAGCAGAGTCCCCCCTGCCGCACCGCGAGAGCAGAGAGGCCAACTTCCCGTCTCCGGCGTGCCGTGGCCTCCTCCCAGAGTGTGCCACCCTCGCCATGCGGCACCGCCTAGGCTCTCTGCCCCTGCCCCGAGACCTCTCGATTTAGACGGAAGCCGAGGAGCACCCGGCAAGCAGGGACCGTGGTAGCGCGTGCCGTCGGCATACCAGATCTGACAGGCGGGCGCTCGGCTCCCGCTCTCCGCACAGGCGCAGCGTGCGATCTCGCACTCGCCTCAGCATCGGCGTCGGGGCCACAGTGCTGCAGGTCTGCGGCGTCCTCGCAGCAAGAGGAGGGTCACATGTTGTTACCAGGGCCGACCAGGGGATAGCACAGCCCCGTCCAGACCGTACATCTCGGCCTTGGAGTCAAAAGCACTGAGTACCATGCGGGCCTTTTTGAAAGTCTGGCTGCAGATCCGGGTCACCGCCAGGTCTTTCGGAGCTTTGCCGGTTCCCTGGTGAGGCCTCTGCAGACTGCATTTTGCCGCTATAAGGCGCAGTGGACAGAATCGACTGCAGGCCATGTCTTGGGCCGCCACCCGACGCCGGCTTCATTCTGCAACCTTGAGGGAACTTCGCTGCCCTTGCGTTTCGCGATGCTACGCGATGGGTCTCCGGCACCGGGAAGAAATCGTGCTGCGCCACGCTATCTCGCTCGTCCACGAGAATTAGACTCCGGGGCTCGCGAACTTCGCCTCGAGTTGCACCGTGTTTTCATTGCACTCCGTCAAAGGCTCAGAGCGTGCGCGTGAGCTCAGGAGGCCGCTCCCACCGGAGAACTTCCCTTCATAGCGAGTGATTGCCTGAATGAGACGCCCCTAAGACCCCGTGGACTCGCAGGGGCGACTCGGCGACTCGGGACCCTACCCAGGGTCGATGCTTCTGCACCCAGTCTAGGCTACCATCCTTCCGAATCTGCCGAATGCTATCCGTCTTCGTCATCTGCAACGAAACTCACTCCTCCTCCACAACCCAGAGAATGCCCCGGCCACAAAACTCCTCGCAACAAAGCTCGGCACAAGCCTTCATCGCTGCAAACCTCCGGCCTCACGGTGGAAGTGGCCGCTGTAGGCCCGAGAGCCCGACGGCTCCTGGAAAAAGCGATAGAAGCCCTCGCCTGAAAGCCAGGACACGCACAAGAAAAGAAAAGGCACGATTTTCCGAGGCCGCAGGCCATGCTTCATGCCATGTGCCCATTGTCCTTTGTAGATGACCTGCCTCGGAAAAGAACATTGAACCCTTGCGCCTGAAGGCCGAAGGGCCTGAAGGGTGCGCAGAACTGAGATTCCCGGCCCCTCGGGGTCCTGCAGCTGCCCAGCACCATGGTAAACGTGGTCCTCCCACTGCCCGAAGTAGCGCGTCCCATCCGGCCACAGCTGATCCCCTTCACCATGGCGGTAGACCACCCCCGGCAGCCGCGGGTGGTCACGGACATCCCCTATGTAGTGGAAGATGTGGAGCGGTGGAGTAAACATCCCGTACTCTTCGATGACCTTAGCCCAGACCTCTCCGTCCTCCTTCCCAACCCGAAACACCAAAGGTAAGCTGGGAGTTGCTGGAGAAAGACCGACTCTTGGGCTGAGCCTTGGGCTGGCTTTCGCTCTCGGGCTGGCTGCACGGAGAGGCCCAGGAGTCAGCTGCAAGGGGTTCGACGCCGCCTCTGCTGCCTCTGCTGCCTCCGCCTCCACCTCCGGCTCTGTGGCAATGGAGCTGGAACTTGGAGTGCTCGAGAGCCCATGAAGCGTCAGCAAGCATTCATCATCCTCATGCCCACGCAGGCCCCGGGACACCTCAATGCGATCCAAAAACACGAAAGGGATCCGGTACTCCAAAGCATCGCCATGGTCAACGGCCGCGGCGGTTGTTGCGGCCGAAGCCGCCGCTTCGGAGCTAAGAGCTTCCTCCTTCTGCAGGACGTAGCTTACTTGACGGGAGTTGAGCCGAAGCAGGCAAGGCCTCCACAAGTTCGGATATCCCGCTTCGCTCTCCGAAGCTGAAGGACCGGAGAAGCTCGAGCAGCTGGAGTTGTTCGAGGAAAGAAAGAGGCTGGCGGCGTGCGCTGCAAGTGGATCCGGCCGCCAAGCCCGGCGCCCCGGCTTCAAGTCCGTGGAAGCGATGATGTAGTGCAGGATCCGGCCTTCTCTGAAGCATCGTGAGTCACAGAAACGCCTCGTGCCCAAGCAGTCGTCCGTAAATATTCCTGGCACCAACAGCCTATCCACCTCCTCTTCGAAAGCCCCTCGGCCTGGATTCCCTGCAAAAAAGAGAAGATCTAGGATGCCATGCGCCACTAAACTTCCAGCTGCAAGCTCTTCGTCCAACCATTGGAGAAGCTGGGATTGCCAGGTGGCCACAAGCTTCGTGCTTTCAAAGGTCTCATTCCGCCAGTGCTTCCACTGCCCACGCCCATCGGGCGACGGCTGGCTTGTCGCTGTGGGTCTCCGGGAATCCAAGCCCCATGGCAGGAAAAGCGAGAAGAAGGAGTCGTGCTTGGAGCACGCCCAAGGCCGGCCAAGGTGATTCACAATTTGGATTGTTGCAACAACTTGGGGAAGCTCTTCCACGCCAACGACCTGTTCTCGTGTGGTTGCAACGGGTATCGGATCCCGAATCTCGTCCTTGAAGCGTAGAGAATGCCGGACGGAATCAAGCACTTCTCCCTGCCTTGCGGGCCTTGCGTCCGTCAACCCTGGCGGGCAGGGCTCGAAGAGGACCAAAAGCTTCCGAAGCCCTTGCAGTCGTCGCTGGTTTGTGCTCGGAGCCTCCTGGCCTTGAGCTCCACCAACCTCCGAAGTTTGCATGCCCCAGAGCTGCAGGCCCAACATCCGCACGACGAAGAGCAAGTTGGGTGCCTCACCGGCAAAGCCCTTGTCCACAGGCTGAACGATCCCATAATCGGGATATGGATGGTCGCTTGACCCAGAGATGCCCAGCACGACCAGGGCCGCTTGCTTGTTCCACTCCTCTGTAAGATGGAGCCTCCACCCCCGAAGGATTGGTCCCCTCCTGAGAATCTTCCACAAGAAGAGCCGAGCAGCTGGAAGAAGGCATCTGAGAAAAGACTGGTAAAGCAGGAGAAGAGAGATCAAGATATCTGTGGCCTTCAAGAAGCCAGTGACCTTTCCTAGAAAAAGGCTCAGTCCCAAGAGCAGCTGAAGCCACGGCATGGCTGGCATGGCTATGGCTTCGGGAAAGGCTGAAAAGAGGCCGCCGCTCTGCGGATCCCTCCGACCCAACGTCACCTCCTGCGCGGAGGCCGCGGAGATCCCTTGAAGGCCGTGGCCTGCGTGGCCTGCTGCAGAGCAGCGGAGGCGAAGCAGCGCGGAGAGCAGGGGCCAAAGCAGCAGGCCAAGGAGGCCCTTGTAACCCGAACCCTCAGCCGGCCCCTCCAGAAGAAAGACACAGAGCAAGCTGAAGAGCCGGTCAAGGGAGTCGAGCTGCAAGGCCAAGAAGTGGCTGGAGATCCGCAAGTTGTCACTTCCCGTTCCTGCCCCTGAGGCCGCTGGGCAGTCTCGACACTTGGGGCAGCTGCCAAAGGAGGCAAAGAGAGGCCGCCAGCGCTCGGCCACAGGCAAAGCCACGTTCTTCGACGGAATCGCGAAGCCAAAGGTGGGCAGCCACCGGACCATGGTCTCCAGATGCTTCAAAGGCAACTTCACCATCACCATGTTCTCCCGAACCTGAGACACGCCGTCTTTCGTGGTTGGAGTGCTGGCATGACACCTGTCACGTGCCTGGAGACGCCGCGCGGCGTGCTGAACACGCGACGGCGGAGGCCGGCGAGGCGACTGCGAGTTTGACAGAGTTGCAGTCGCGAAGTTTTGAGACAAGTGCGCACGCTTTTGTCTGTGAGGGTCCCCGACCAAGCTTTCGCTCACACGAATCGGAGGTCGCCGAGGTGGCTCTGGCGGCCTGGGGAGAGCTACAGTAGTTGCCCAAGGCCACACTCGTGTCGTCCGAAGTGACACTCAGCTGCTCGCGCCCCAGGGTTCGGGTTCTCTCCGCAGCCGCGTACCTTTTCTCACGAGAATCCACTGCTCGCATCTCGGTGATGTCTGAGGCGGGCACATGAAAGCGGAGGACACCGAAGGTTGCATCTAAGAAGTCAGGGACCAGCTCCTGATGCCCCTGCCCTCACCGTAGCAAGCCGATGCATCGATGCACCTCGTCATAGAATGGCATGTCATCCGAATCCAGCAGCTCCTCATGGAGGAACCTGATCTGAGTCTGTGTCCATGCCGGCCCGTCTTCCCGCCACATGCACAGTGAGCCGGCCACGCCAGAATCTCATGTGAACCAAGGCCATCAACCTGGAGGGCGCAGGCTTTCAAGCGGCGGGTCGCCGGTCGCGAGGCTCAAGGCTCAACACTTCGACTCTGTTTCTCTGTTTGGCCACTCCCCGTGTTTTTGCATGCCTCTTTGCTGCGGCCCTGAAGAGTCGCGCCAGAGGCAACCTGCATAAGGCCTCGCGAAGTTCAACCTCGTGCGGTGAGTTTCTTTCATATTTCTGCTCGCCCGATTTTGAAGGCTGTCGCCCAGGTCGTGAACACCATAGGCATGACTTCTTTTCCTTTCTTTCTGCCCTGCTACGAGCGACACAGCGAGTATCCAAGCAGCTCTGTGGCCGTGTGCTTTTTTTGCCTGGCCAGCAAGCGGCCTGAAAAAGCAAAGCCTTCTTGTTCATCTGTTGGCAGAGAAAGCACGGCACATCGCGGCGCATCGCGTCGCGGAGCCTGCTGCTGCCACGGCTGGGGAGTCGTGACCAGCTTCTCGAGGTGTTGCGACGCACGCCTGGGCTCACGGAGACTCGTGGGCTGCGCTCCGCTGCGCCGACCGAGGCTCGGGCGCCGCCTCGCGCGGAGTGCCGGAGGGTGCCCTGAAGCTGCGACGCTCCAGGACCTTCGAGGACGAGAAAAGTGAGGACGCCAGGGTTCTGCTTTTGCGGTTTTGCCCATCTCCCCACCGCCAACGCCATCTCCATCAAGACAGCATGCTGCAGCTCCTGCGCTCGCCATTCCTTAAACGTTGAAGGATCCTGCTCTTTAGTATCTACGAGAGTATCGAACTTATGATCGGGCATCGGGATCATTGCATCATGCTCCGTAAGTGATGAGTTAAACTCTGCGAGTGCCACACGATGCTTGTGCTAGCATGACAATTCAATGACCTAGGACAAATCCTCCAAGTGGAAGCAAGATGCTTGGAGAAAGTTGGCCGGTTATCTAAGGCGTTTAAAAAATACTTGTACAAGTACCCTAAGTTCTTGAGGTCGTTGTCTACCGGTCTACCATGATGATTCGGGATTGGCCAGCACAGGATCATTGCCCCATGTGCGTTGTCGCTGATCTCCCAATCCTGCGCACACCATCGCAGCTGCCGCAGTTCCTGCAAAGCACGCAAAGAGAGCCGCTGAGCCCTTCGGAAGCCCTTCGGGCTCTTCGCCTCGCGCGCTGCAGACGCTGCCTGCGAAGCGCGAGAGACACAGCGACTCCATGGCGGCGCTGCAGACGCTGCCTCCGACTCCACCAACCATTCGGAGAGCCAATCGTTGATCTGCTGTCTCTCCAATTCCTGGACACCTTGCAGGCGCTGTCAGACAGAGAGCGCAGCTGTTTGTGTTGCTGCTCGCACGGAGCGTCCTGCAACAGACGGGACCCAGGGAGCCAGCACCTCGGAAGGGCGCGTTGCTTCCGCTCTCCCGTCTTTCTCTGGCCCGTTCTTGGCGCCAAGGAACCCCTGTTCCCTTTCGGTACGGCTCCCGCGCGCCTCTCGCAGCACTAGAGAGCTTCCGAAGGCTTCAAAAGGCTGGGCTAAGATCTTAGGCCCGTGCCCGTCAAACTGCAGCCGGGAACGCGACCTGCCTCCAAAAGAAGAAACGGCCGCCCCTCTGGAGCTCCCCGCTTTCTGATCTCTTCTCTCAGTCGCGGACCAGGGTTTGAAGCCAAGGTCGCCATGGAAATTGGTAGATGCAGTACCTGCCAAGGCAGTGCAGTGCGCAGCGCGCGGCCTCCGCAGAAGCTGGTAGAAGCATGGGCGCACTGGTAGAGGTCTCGCAGCGGCTGACCTGCCCAGCTCCTTTCCTCTCTCCCACTCCGTCCTCCGTCGTGCGACTCCCTGCACTGCCTTGGCAATCGTAGATTGGCCATCCCTCAGCGTCGGTGATGACCCCGTGCCCCATGGCCTCATGAAAGGAAGAGCACAGTGCCACACGTGCGGAGCGCAACATTCTTCGTTCCGTCGGCACCTCACTGATCTGCACCTTGAGCGCATCATATGCATCGCATCTCCTGAATCTGAAAGAATGCTTCCTCTCTCCCCGGATTGCAGAAGTGCGCAATGTCCTCTCCAGCCAGATCCTCGCACCGGTGAGAGCGGATGCAGAGGACAGTTTCCACAGCCGGCGAGCTTTCGGTGCGCGGCAGAAGGCCCAAGTGCTCTCTCTGCAGCTGCCAAGCAGCTCCACCGGTGCCTCCCGACTCGGTCCAACCGGGGAGACGCAGACCGAACACCCTCTGTACAGCACTGTGCCCTGGAGTTCGCCTTCTGCCAGTAGCTTCCTGGACATCGAGATCGCGAGTCGACATGTGCGCGAAGCCACGGCGGACTACGGGCCCCCCCGCCGTCGATGTGGATCTCCTGCCACAACTCCAAAGTCTACTGTATCACCATGTCGCTCTCGCCCTGCACCCCTGCGAGGCCCTGCGGGTCCAGCTTCTTGCTCTTGGCAGCTTGCTTTCGCTATCTCTCGCAGGTCGCGCGCCGATCTGGAGGTGGAGCTCCTGGCAACGCACAAAACTTCAAGCGAGAGAGAGAGAGAGGCGCAGAGGCGCGGCTCGCCGCACTGGGGCCCCCACAGCGGCCCTGTCTGAAAGGACTCCCGAGCCAGCAAGGCTTCTTCGGCAGGCAAGACCTGCTCGCCCCCCAGCTTCAAAAGCGTGAGAAGGCTTCTCGAGGCCGCGGTAGGCCGCAGACTGCAAAGAGACAGCCCTCGTAGGCAGCCTTCCTGGCTGGGAGCAGGGCCATGGGGCCATGCGGGGTCTCTTCACCGGGCCCTTTGGACCTCCCCTGTTGGGACCCCGGCCGCTTCTTGGAGCCCTTCAGCTGCCAGCTGAAGCGATCGTCTGACCATGCGCCCGCGAGCTTTGGACCAAGAGATGTGATGTGCACGCATCTAGACATTCCCCAAAACATGTGTGCCGGGTGTGCGAGTGCCGGTCCGGCTGTGGGTGACGGGTGGCGCTGTTGCTGTGGCTGTGGGGCCGGGGAGGGGGGCGGGGCGGAAGGGGAAAAATATGTAAAAGAAGGTTTGCGAGGCTGAGACTTCAGGGGTTATGTCGCTACTCACTGTCCCCCCTGCTCTGCTTTTTCCAGTCTTTGTCCGTCATTTAGTTCTATGTCTTGTCGCCACCTAGTCTACAGTCTGAGTCAGTGTTCAACGGAACTCCCACCTATTTTTTTACTTTTGTCCGTAACTTCTTGTGACCTTCTCATTCGTTTTCCCTAATATCTCACCTTGTCCATCCATTTCACTAACAAGGTTTTTTACAGCTAAGCCACCTTATTCATTCCACATTTTCTACACATAAAAATATTTTCACAATTCTTTATCCACCTTATGCATTCCTATACTCGTAAAATCCTGCGTGCATCACAGTTTGAATGTTTGCTCCTGTTATGATTCATCCATTACCCATTATCGCCCCTTATTCGTTCTGGTCTTTTGTCTACTTCTAAGTCTTCCGGGGCTTCCCATGTTATAGTAAGCCCTTGGGTGCAAGTCTTTAAGATAGTTGATTTCACACAAAATCAACGATTCTCATTTCTTGTAAGAACCGTGTTGTTTCTTCTACATGTTCAAAAGATAAATTGTTGATGTCTGTGCAGAAATAGCATAGTAAGTCAAGATAAACCTTCGTTACCATTGGGTAAAAAGAAAAATAACCACATGATCCACATAAAGTATGATTGAAACAGTTCTTGTTCTCCTGATGCCATGTAACCCAAGCTGATCGAGTTCGGTGACGTGGTCAGGTTGACATGATGTTTGCGTATGACATTGAGAAGAAGAAGCATATGCTGCTCTCTATTGTCGACTACGCCTCCAGCTACCGTGTCGTCGTCAAGGCTCCCAACCAGACTGGAGAAACATTGGAGAAAACGTTCTTGAAGCATTGGATCCAGGTCTTCGGTGCCCCCAAGGTGATCATCCTCGGACCTCGAAGGATGCTTTCTCAAGGTTGAGTGGCTGGTTCCAAATTGACCTCCAGACAAGCGCTGGACAAGCGCATTGGCAGGCTGGGTTTTGTGAAGGACACGGCAAATGGTGGAAGTGGAAGGAGATCTTCGTTCACCTCGTCGAGGACATAACGGTCTCCAGCGATGATGTGGAGACGGCCATCGGTGCAGCCTCTACAGCAAGGAACAACTTGAGAAGGAGATGTGGCGGGCTCCCAGCCAGATCGTCTTCGGGCAAACACCGAGGGATGAGGACGATATCTACGACAAGGAGATTGATGATGGAAACTTCATCCCTCAGACCGCGGACGATGCTCAACGACGAAGCGAGAGCATCGAGGACAAGATCCGACGAGGTTCCCTACAGAGATCTCGAGTGCGACACCGTGACCTCCCTACTGGAGAAATGGCGCTTGTCTGAATTTCTGGAGTAAGAACAACAAGAAACGGGCGTGGAGAGGTCCTGACGTTGTCGTCGGGAGGCAACAGGCCAACTACTGGATCGCAAGAGACGTGCGCGGTTTCTTATGCGCCCCCGAACACGTACCTGCAGCTAGATCCGGCCGCTGTTTCCTCTGCGCCCCCGAACACGTACCTGCAGCTTCCCCGAAGAGCCCGGGGGACTGTTTGCTCTCAGGGCAACCAGAGCGGACCTCCAGAAGTTGATCGAGCGAGACCACGACGATGAGGATGTTTTCATGGACGACGAAGCGATCGACGAGCACCCTCTAGATCAGGGCACTCTCTAGCCTAACAGCGGTCCGCAGCCTTTTCGGAGCACCACAAACGACGTGTTTCGCCCCGAAAGGGGCTTGTTCAAGTCAAGTGCTCGAGAATATGCTGCAGCGATACGCACAGCAAGCGCTGATACCGCATGCTCAAAGCGAGCATCGTCTTGCAAATAAGCTTTATATAGGAACCCAGATCCCACCCACCTCTCACCTGCTCTGGGCCTGACTGATTTCAGCCAAGTAGTGGCATAGTTACGTCGACAATCGTTCGGTTGAATTCTGAAACTCAGCACGATGTCACATCGAAGTGGAAAGATCCTCTGAATCACATGCCAATCACGTTTGAGAAACAGTCTTGACGATCGACGAGTTCAAAGACCTCGAGTAGACTTGCTGGAAGAAGCACAGTCTACGCTTGGTTTGCGTCTTCGGGAAGAATCTTCGTTGCAATCTGTGCAAAGTGGCGTTGATGTTTGTCGAGAATCATTTTTGTTGTAGCCTCGCTTGCCCAAGCGATCAACGAAAAATTCCAACTCCCGTGTCAAAGCATGGGAGTTTCGATAGTTGTGTCTGGAGAGGCGAACCACTTCACCGGAGATCAGCGCGTTAAACACTGATCGGGGATGACAACTGCTCCTGGGAAGATAGCTGCAGGAATTTTGCGCTTTGCGAAACGTCGTGAAACTCAGGGAGCTTCCAGCGATCGTGATGTGCAAATCCAGGTCTGGAACTGACAGTCCCATCACAGTGACGTCCCACTGTGTGCTTGGATGCTAGCTGTTCAAGAAGAGTCGAAGGTGATCTGAGAAACCACATCTAGCTACCGTCAAGCCGTCATTAATGTACCCGAACCAGCAGACAGCCAGATAAAGCGAAAGGCGAAGAAATGGGCGTGGCATTCACTGTCCAACTCAGCGAGGTAGGCATTTGCGAAAACCACCCCTGCATGAAGCCCTGTGGCGAAGCCTGTGCAAATCTACCAAATGATGTCGCCCAAAGAGATGAACTGAAACTCCAGCAGCATTCCTGACAGGCGCACGATGAAATTTCCGAAGCTTGGTCTATCACAGAAATGTCGCCTCACGCGTTGAGCGAACTTCTCCATGAAATGTGCATGGGAAATGGAAGGATAAAGATTCCGTATATCCAGTGTGCACAGTTCAAACCCGTCAGGGACTGACAGCTCAGACAAGGCATGTTGAAGTTGCCAACTGGAGTGTATGACGTGAGGGGCAGTTTTCATGACAGGTCCAAGAGCTACCGTGAGAAAAGTAGCGAGAGGACCAAGCCAAGACCTTGACAGATTCCTCACGGGTCTTGCTGACATGGGTTCTTTGTGAATTTTGATCCGGAGTCTGAACATACCCACACTCAGACTCTGGAACGAACTTGTAACTTGAAATGTACATCTGGACGTGAGCTTGGACAAGGCGTCTGGTGACGGCATCTGAAAGAATGCAGTCCAAAGAGGCTTTGGCATCACTGATTGCTTGACGACAAACTTCTGAACTCTCTGGAACAGAGGCTTGCTTGAGCAGCTTACAGCATGTGTCCTGCACCCATCGCCTGTCTACAACGACGTCTCCAAGATTTCTTGTCGGCACTCACAACGGCTACGAGATCACGATGATTTTGAAGCCAAGCTCGTGCTGCCTTGTCGACGAAGGACTCGTTTGATCTTCGAGGCACGGGCTCATAGAAGCACAGATTGTCTTTGAGCAAGTTAATGTATCTGCAAACCTGTGGACAACGCGGAGGTTGCCAAGCTTGCTGGGGACCCTGCAGTGATGGAATTCCGGCAAAATGCTGCAGCTCCTGGAACTGAAGTGAGCGGCTAAATGAAGAGAACGTTCAAATTGATGGACTTTTGCCAAAACTTGCTTTACACTGCTGGGTTGTTTTTCTGCAGCGAACTTGTCACCGCGTGAGAGATATGCTGAAACAAAAGCCGGAATCTTGAGGCCTGGGTCACAGCGTATGTGCACAAGAGTATTGAAGCCCGTTCCAACTGTACCAGGGACGTGCGTCTCAGCTTGAACCTGACATAGGCATCAAAGTTGCTGCTGAAGGCGGAGTTCCAAGAACTCCTGCGCCTCGGTTTTCCAAAAGATAGTCAAGATCTTGTGGGACCTGGGGTTTTGCTCCTGCGTACTTGCTTGTCACTCCCTTTTCTGGAGCCTTTCTTACCATGACCAGGACCTTTGCCACGACATTGACCTGTATGCCCTTTGTTGGGAGCTCCTTTCGAGGATCTCCGAGAGCCCTTGGAGGATGCTTTGGACGACGAACGCGAGTTTTTGGAAGACGCCCTCTGCGAAGTAGAACGTCCTCTGGAGCCTGAAGTTCCGGACTTCCTAGATCCACGTGAAGAGTTTTTGTTTTGGGTCTGCGGAAGGTCGAGCTGAGTCGGGCTTCCGAATGGTCAGGTTGTGCTTTTCGGCAATGTCGGGGTACTGCTTGATAAGAAAGCCAAGTGCGCTTGTACTGGAAACCTTCTTCTGCATGGCTGATGTGCTCTTGGATGGTGAGCTCGCAAACTCAAGCGCGGCCATCGTCAAGAGCTTGTTGATATCCATGAGCCGAAACTCTGATTCAGCGTGTAACAAGGCCTCTTGCTGTTTCAACTTCTGCGCGCGATCATGCTCCTGTTTGGCTCTAGTTGTCGGCAGCTCTTTGCGGAACGTGAGTTCAGCGAAAGTCGTAGCATGCGCTTTCATAGAAGCCTGAACCGAGGAAGAAAAGATGCCATCGTAGCGCTCGAACCACGTCTTCAGCTTGTCCGAAAGCTTTTGAAGCTGAACATCTTTGCTGGCTTGTTCGGAGAAAAAACTTGCGCACTATCTCTGGTACGCAACGATGAAATCCTGGCACTCCCTTGCATGTTTTCGTCGCAACCTCCGGTAAGCTTCACAAATGTCGAAGGGTGGTTGTCCATGGCGAAACGGTCCTCACTACCTTCTGGAAGCACTGGGTTGCATTCTATAAGCTGTTTGGCTTGCGCCTTAAAGGATTGTGTTCCTTGTTAGCTTCATCAGCAAAGGATCTATGAAGTTCGCCGGCTTTCTCGATGTCCAAGTACTTTTGTTGCAGGTCTGATTGCGTCACAGAATGTTGTAGCGTAGACTTGTACTCCTTCATCCACTCAATCAACACAGGCTTGAATTCAGGATCAACAGCATTCAGTACCTCGAACGGGTCGGAGTAGTGCTGAGAACTGGTGTGTTTTTGTAGAAGCATCAGCTGCTGCAGCAAAAGATTCTGCTGCGGTTGAGCTTGCAACAGATCTGCCAATCTGATTGCGGGAGCAGCGCCGGGAACAGTTTGCATCGCTAAACCCGGAGGAAGCTGTCTCTGATGTGCTCTTCCCGCCGCCGTAGTATAGTGCCCCAATGGAGGAGGAGTCGGTCTGCTTCGGCTCCGTCTGTTATTCAACGTGGCGAAAGTGCTTAAAGTTGCAAACTAGCACACTCTAGATCAGGGCGCTCTGTAGCCTAACAGCGGTCAGCAGCCTTTTCGGCGAGCACCACAAACGACGTGTTTCGCCCCGAACAGGGCTTGTTCAAGTCAAGTGCTCGAGAAAATGCTGCAGCGATACGCACAGCAAGCGTTGATACCGCATGCTAAAAGCGAGCATCGTCTTGCAAAGAGGGTTTTTCTAAAACCCGAACACGTACGTGCAGCTTCCCCGAAGAGCCCGGGGGACTGTTTGCTCTCAGGGCAACCAGAGCGGACCTCCAGAAGTTGATCGAGCGAGACCACGACGATGAGGATGTTTTCATGGACAACGAAGCGATCGACGAGGACCTCGAGGATTACGAGCTGTCTCTTGACGAGGACGAGGCAGAGGATGAAGATCTCGAGTTCCCCAACGATCCCTCATTCCTCCCTCGACCAGTTCGGCGTCGCCGCCGACACAAGGGACCAAAGCAACGAGGACGAGAGAAGCAACTCGAAAATGAGTTACCATGGCGGCTCACACCCATTGAGAAGCAGGACATGTTTCGCGAGGCGGAAGGAAAACAATGGGATGAACACTTCCGCCGGATGGCTCTCCCGTCCGCTTTCCTGACAGAAGAGTGAACAAATCCTACGTGATGAGCGCGACTGTATCAGTGGATGTCGTTGTGCCTACAAAGATAAGAACTGGCCTCGGAGGCGTACGTGTCCAGACGCAGAGTGGTGTCCCAAGGCAGGTTTGGTGGTCGCGGGCCATTTAGACCCGGATGTGAAGTCTGGAGCGCTGCGTTTCAAGAACTGCAGTAATGTGCATGCTGCAGATGACTGCTGCCAGACTTGGAGAAGGATGGAGACTACACGCCCAGGTTACTATTCTCACCCCTACCTCCTTTTGCAGGTCCCCCCTCCCTGCCCTTTGTTGCTTGAATCCTAGATGCCCCCAGGCAATCACGAATGCAATGCAGTCATGTCATGTACCTTCACCCAACACTTACATGTATGTGCTTAGCGTGCAAGGGCAAGCCTTTAGATCCTCAGGGATCGCACCCGGCAAAACCAATAAACACTGCACAGACGGAGTCCAAAACATTGAAAAACCAATAAAGGTGCCACACATGGAGCCCAAAACATTGCAAAAACCAATAAAATGACGCACAAGTGATAGATAGTAAGCTTTGTGAGCCTTGATTGCTCACGACCTTTCATCGCTCCTCTGGAGCTCAAAACATCACTATGTTTGTGCAAATTCACCACTTTTTCGGATGTAACACTCTGCAAGAATCTGCCTCACGACGTTGCGGATTCCATCTTGAATTGGTTTTGGAACACATGCCAGGCAACTACGATGAAGTGCCCAATACAAATACAAATATCGGTTTGATGCCTACTTCATGTTCAATATGGAATTTTGCGACTATGCCTAACTACTACTTACACAAAAAGGGAAAGTCATCGTTCCATATGATATAGCTGAGTTCTTTGCTATGTATTAACATGTTGTTAGTGCTCAGCTGTATTCCGGCACAATTAAATGCAAGCAACAAATTGTGATGCACAGGTAGTCAGTACTCGGTCAAACATGACAGATATTTAAGCCGTGCTTAATTAAGACGTAATTCGAGCGTTGCGCATAATCCGCACAGAACCACTGTGTAGATACTCTTTAGTTTGTTGAGCATTTAACCTCTGTTCCTCTATTCTGTGTATTACTCGTTTGGTGTTAGGGTCGTGCTCGCTGCATCTTTCCATTGAAATCCAATAGCGGAAGATTTTCGTTTAGCGCTCAAGAGCTACATCTTCTTCAGGCTGTGTCTCACTATTACAGATTAATGCAATACATAGTTGAAGCCCATCTAAATACTCGCCGGAAACGTGATTGATGTGCAATGCCGAGCTCTCTACGTATATGTAAGTAACATTTTTCTAAACGGAAAATGGTAACAAAATCATTGAATGCTCGTCGAACATGTGATCCTCACATACAACTTAACCAGTTTTTCCAATAGTATATGCTTCAGATCTACAAGTTTGCTAACCCATGGTTTCCTCTGCTGAATGTTTCAACTGGTAAACAACTCGAGTACTTATGTACTCCTCAAGTTATGGCAAGGACATTGCATGATTTCATCGCTTGTGAATACTTGATGCCTATTTGTGTTTTCTTGTGCTATCTGCTTCTCAGTGAAATAAGCGGTAGTCACTATCTACGAACGCACTAGCACTCGACTGCTACGCCGTGAATGGCTTTCTGTCCTTTTTGTCCTGCCGTACCGACTATTTGTTCTAACACTTATTCACGAGTCTTGAGTGTTCGTGGGTATTGTGTGCAAAAACTGCCTTTTGTGTGGCTTGAGCAGCATGTAGGGATGGGGCAGAAGAGTATGAAACATCACACAACTGGATGCAAGCTAATGTTGCTTGACAGTGAGTCGGTGAGACTTTGGGGAACAGATAGGGACTAGAGGAGACATGGGTCAGGCGAAAAAGTACATTTAGTGGCCGACGCCAGCGCCCGTGCACATGAAGTTCTGCGGACACACACCGGTTGTATAAACACACCAAATAAGTAGGTACATCGGGGGGTGCAGCATTATTTATATATATATATATATGGATGGGCACATACATATATATATATATATGGCATGTATGTATATATATATATATGTGGTGTAACATATATATATATATATGTATATGTATATATATATATATACATATACACACATGTAGATCTTGGTTGACAGAAGGCGCTCTCTGCTGCAGAACACTCAACACTTCCCGATACGCTCCGAGCAGTTTCTCTCTGTCTCTGACGTTCTACTTTGCCGACGAGCCTGTCAAGCGAAGAACCTCCCGCTCGGGGCCGCAGACGGGCACCTTCTTTTGCAGAAGGATGGGGGTGCTTTTAGACGCTTAAGGCCTAGGGCTCAGATGAGGACGTTGAGGCCACGGCTGCTGCCCGCAACTCCGTGAGGCCGTCACAAGCCTCGGCCATCGCTGCCCAAGCAGTCGCCGCCGGACCTAAGAAAGACAGACAGCGGGGGACGGAGCTGCGAGCAGGTGTCCGAGGCACGGGGATACGCCGACTCCCGCAGCGTCACCTCTGCAGATCGGAGTGCGCTTTCTGCCTCCTCGCCCTTTCGCTGGGGTCCGGGCGGCCAGGGTTTTCGGATCCGCGAACTTCCCGAGTTTGGGGCTCCAGCAGAGGAGCCCCGAGAGCTGCAGCCGGAGGAGCTGCGCAGCACCGAAGCCGCAGAAGCCCAAGGCCACGCCCCAGCAGAGCCGCCGGAGCCTCGCATCCTAAACCCAGCTTTCACTCTGTGACCTCTCGCCCTTTGGGCACTTGGCATTGATGTGGAAAGTACACCCGACATCAAGAGTCGCCCAGGACCAAAGACGCTCACCTCGCAGCGTCGCAGCATGTCTGAGCTCTAGGGGTCACTTCCCGCCACTCCACCTTCACGGCCGTGTTGGGAAGAAACGCTTTAGAGGATTCTGCGAGACCTGAGCAAGCCGCGGCGGGCAATCTTTTTCAGGAATTCTGTCGATGCGGAAAGCACAGGGCGTATCGATGGTGCCAAGTCCTGCGATCTGCACATTGCGGCCCTTTCGAGTCTTTCCACCACGCTACATGTGGCCGTAGCTGGCGAGCCGAAGTCTGACAACTTGGAGGAATGAGGGAGATCAGTTTGAAGTCGTGCCCGGTGGAAGCCGTGGCAGCTGTTTGGGCAGGGGCAGGACCGCCTTTGCCGGACTGGATCAAAAGACCATGCCAAACAGCAAACCACTGAAAGCAAGCCAAACTGAAGCCAAGCTCAAGTCAGTTCCAGACCCGCGTTGAGGATTGCCTCTGTGTAGCGTGCTCCACAACCAGGACTCATCATGCATCATGCTGGCGGGACTCGATGTGTAATCATGGCAGAACCCAGATGTGATGTAGGAAGACGAGGGCTTCAGGGTGTAAATGGACAGGGAGGATTTACCGCCACAGCCACATCTAGAAGGCACCGCTTGCAGTGTCGACTGGTTTGGAGCCTTGAACACTCGAAAAGAAAGGAACAGCAACTAGAGAAGCTTTTTGGTGGTGGCTCCGGTCTCTCTCGGGCGTGTTCGGAACTCTGGCAAAAGCCTCGACCCGATGCCAATAATAACCTCATGACTCATGATGATGCTCATGCTTCATCCGGTGCGTGTCCTGCAGCACTGATTCGGTGTCCATATGGGACAGCCAGACGAGCTTCACGAGTTGTACGGAGAAAGCACGGTCCACACAAGCACTGTTGGCGAGAATAGCAGCTGGTCATGCAGTCAGGCATGCGGTGGAAGGGCTTGAGTCGCACAAAAGCCTGCAAGGACAGAAGGCTCCCGGCCAAGCAGCCCCACGTCCAAGAGAATCAAAGCCTCGGAGAGGCAACTGAGCCTCCGGAAACGGAGCAAAAAAGGGGCGCACGGAGATGGCCCCGGGCCCGGGACCAGCGGCAAGGCCTTGATCCGAAGCCCACGCCTCGGCCCGCGGCGACAACGCAGGGGACGTGCAGTGCTTTTGCCGGGCTCCGGGGCCCCGCGCAGGCCCAGGCCTCGCAGCTGGGACTTCCTCAGCAGTCGCTCCTCCCAGCTCGCCTGAGACGCCGGAATCAAGGGTGCCCCCTGGAGTCCCAAAGGGGCCAAGGGCCTCCAGGCAACCGAGCGCCAGCAGCAAGAAGGCCGGAGGCCTGCAGCGCATCGCGACACCACTCACCCACTCGTAAGCCTTCTCTGAGGCATTGGCAAAGTGGCGAGCCTCAGCGAGCCGCCAAAGCAATGAAAAGCTCTAGTCCGAGCTCTTTTTTGGCGCATAAAAAGCCGCCGGAGTTACAAGGGTCTATGTCTGTGGACAACCGCTGAGGCCTCTACCAAACCATCGTCGCTTCTGCTGCCTCTTTGCAGAGAGGTCGGTATAGGCTTTAGCAAGGCATGGTGGCGCGACCTTCTCATTGGGCAAAGTCCTGCAGTCGCCTTCCCCACAGACATCCGAGGCTCTGAGGCGAGGCTCGCTCTCTTCCGGCCTTCAAGGGCGTCCCGTGGCTCTCGCCCGTCGTGCTCACTCTCGAGCAGGCAGACTTCGAGGCCGGGCCAATCGATCTGCGAGGGAAGGGCCCGGCTGGAAGCACCTACAGCGACCTGTGCTTCCTAGTGTCTTCCTGGCCTCCAACAGGAAGACTCGAAAGGGCTGCGTCAGCAAGGCGTAGTAGGAGTCACCTGAAATCCCACCCGGCCCCATGCCATCCGCAAAAACTGCTTGCCGTGGATTTGGGGACCAGCCAGCCGCTTGATGAGAGATCGCCAGAAACTGGAGCTCCTGCCCGCAGCAACAGCCCTTGGACTCCGTCTCTATGACATGCAGCACGATGCATCACAGTTCCCGTGATCCTTGAGCAACAACATGAAGGACCTCGTCAACAAGCACCCCCCGTGACCTGTATGGACTGTATTTGGATATTCCCTTGCGGCACGCTAAGGACTCGACGTCAGCTCGTGCGATGCGAACAAAGCCGCCATGGACCCACCGGCAGCAAGGACCTTCGGACGGAAGTGTCGCCGCTAGGCCGCTAGGCAGCGCGAAAGCGACAGTCCACTCGGGCCAACCCCTGCAACGCTCGCGCTGTCGGCTGCGCTGGCAGGCAGAAGCCCTGCAGACACTGCAAACGGCAGTTAGAGCAAGAGCAGAGCGCAGCGAGCGCAGACTGCGAGCCTGAAAGCTGGAGCTCCGGAATGGGGAGGTGGATCCCGCTGAGTGGGAGCCCATCGGGCCAGCGAGGCAGAGGCCTCGTATACGGCGAAACACTCTGCGCAACGCTCTGCGAGGCCTCATCGGGGCTGCCGCAGCGACATGGGCACGGCTGGAGCCACCGACGGGCCTCTCTGATGCTGAAACGCTAAAAACGCCAAAGATTCCATGACTCTCGTGCTCCCAACGTGGCGTGGAGATCGAAGCCCTTTCCGTAGTCGACCTGCTGGGCACTGCTCGGGGCGAGGATCAGGGTCGCCAGGCCTTGGCCTTGGCGTGCGCTGCGGCGGTGGAGTAGGCGCAGGCGAGGGCGCCGAGGGCGTGGTGGAACGGAAGCGATACTTCGGCCTCCGTGCTCCCGAGACGGTGCCCGAAGATCTCCATCGAGGCCCCTAGGCGCCCGGCAGAGGTGTTGGCGGTGCTTCCTTTGGCGGCGGTTCGAGTGTAGTGAAAAGCCGGCCGCGCCTCGCGAAGCATCTCAGGGCCGGTTCTTCATCTCACCTTCGAGCGCTGGGCTCAGCGCTCTTTCAGCGGGGATCCTTGCGCAGACACGTAGTAGATTGCCTCGGAGCTTGCTTGCGTGCTTGCGCTACAAGAAGTTGCTCCGCTCGCCTTGTGTTTTCGGTCCGAAGCCAAAACGGCGATGTCGACCTGTACCGTGCTATCGATAGACTTCCTATTGCCAACTCCATCCGTGTCCACCTCTGCCTTTCCTTCATCATTGAGCGGCTGCTGGAACACGTTGCCGCTTCTGGCCATGCAAGAAGATGTGTCGAGCTACTGCACGTGCATCACAACACAGCACACTTGGCTGGGTGTTGTGCGTCCATTCCTTGTCCTCGCCAGAACATGCTCATGATATCTGCATTCTCTTTCCTTGCAAACGTCCTGGATCGAGATCTGCAGTTTTTGGTCAAAGCCTGGCATCCACATCACCGTGGGGATAACCTGTCGAAGCTCGGCGTTGACACAACAGCAAGATGTGTTGATGCTAGCACGATCCAGCAAAATTTTGGGTGCGTGATATGTGTACAACGTGTTTGCCGTTGTCTTGTGGTTTGGTGTCTCGAGTACTTCACCGAGCCTTTTCCGGAAACCAAACCGGCGTATGGCATGTGCCGACAAGACTTTGCTTCGATGGACACATCCTGCTCGCCCCCGTGACAAAGAACTCAATCCATCGTCGAACCGCAAATCCCCAGATAGCTTGAAAAGTGTGACTTGCTGCTTGCTCCAGCTGCTACAGATCGGGGCAAATGCCAACCTTCCGGACCAGTTATGCGATACGACACAAGACATGTTCCCCTCTCGAGGGGCGGAGGCTGTTCAATCACTGACAAACGGCCAGGTTTAGCGGCAGCTGCCCACGGGGGTATGCTCACAACGCACAGACGGAAAGCCGGCAAGCCTAATGGACTCCTTGTCGAGACTCGCACTTATTTGACTCCTGACTTGTGCTTTGCCCTTTTGCTGATTCCGCATTTCGGTTTACGAGCACGCAGACTCGAACATCATGCTTAGTAGAAGGCAAAAAGCCCTTCAAGGAACAACACGCCGAAGCATAATTTGAAGACCGGAAGATTCGACTGCTGCAACCCTGGGTGGAAGCAACACCCACCACCGCGGCATCCGCGGACGACCGTCGCGTACAATAGGCAGCAGTGTGAGCGACCGAGCTAGTCGAGAGACCATTGTTGAGTACATGACACAGCTAGCATGGACAGACTGGTTCATGCAGTTGCTAAGCTTCGGCTAGACATTAACTTTCAGATTGCTGTATCAATCAATCAGCAATCGACATGTCCACTCAGACTGTATCACTGCAATGCTAATCACACAATCGGATCCTATGCAATCCGGACCTTCCACTCGAACTCAGTGTTTTCGCAGATTGAACCAATGCCACAGCTAACGGCGGCACTTTCGGCACTCAACGGAATCTGTGCCAATCGGCGTCCCCAGGCGATCTCCTGGAGACGACCGTCAATGATCTGTTGCCAGAGAGGCGAAGATGCTGTGCCCCCTTTCTGTGTTAAATTGCTCGGCACCATTGCACAGCTCTGCACGTGCTTATCATGGATTGCACATTGCGACATTGGCTCTAACCTGCGAAACACATTGAGTCCGAGAGCGTCCGGATTGCATAGGATCTGATTGTGTGCTGAACAATGCGGTGATATTGTCTGAGTGGATATATAGATTGTTGATTCATTGATATTGAAACTTTGTGCGGTATGGCCGAAGGCCGGGGCCTCCAATGCAAAACCACAGGATTGAACACACTGACTTCTCGACATGGCATAACGGGGGAGTTGAAACCCAACCTCCACCTTCGTTCGATGGATCGATTGAACAGTGGGAAGACTGGTCATGGCAAGTCAAGAGATACGTGTCATTGCTCAAATGTTCGGAGGTTGAAGGAAAAGCCGATGAGATCATTGAGACCATTGCAGCATGGGAAGTGAGCAAGACTTCGATGTTGGCAGGACCAGCGACTCAGAGTCTCCATTAGAAACTGTTCGATTTCTCGAAGCAATTGGTGGTTGTTCAAAATAGCACATATCTGGGAACTGCCCGACGTGAGAACTTCCGCGTAAAGTGCTTTCATTTCGTGGCTACTGTAGCGGAGCTTTCGCGGAGCTTGTTCTTTACGTCCATATGTGTATATATATACACACTTACAACATAACATATATATATATATGTATCTGTATATGTATACACATGTGCATACATGCAGTATACATGCAGTAGTCATGCAGTATACATACAGTATACGAAAATACATACGTACATATGCACAGGCTTGAAAAAAGCCATCTTTTCCAGCATCATCCACGAGCAGCCTCCTGCATCTAGTCTAAACTTGTTTTCGGACTATGGCGCCTTATGAGTTTCTGCACTTCTGTCTTTAAGTACTGCTTCTGACAGATCTCGTGCAATGCTGTCGCGAGAAACTGTAGCGGCCTATTGCCTTCAAGACAGACTTGAGCTTTCGCGGAATTTTCGCAGAATCTGCGAAAGTCCTAACAACTATCCTGAGACCACGAAAGGACCCTTTAGGCACCGCTCTGCAGGTCTGTACTGCAGGGAGCTTGCAACAGCTGTTTAGAGATCGAGCTCAAGGCCTTTTTGTGACTTAAAGGAGTCAAGGCACGTGCTGAGGACTAGCTTCAGTTAGATGTTCGCCATGCAGAAGGTACGACGACAGGCCCGGAAATCAAATCTGTAAGGGCTGGGGACTCAGATGATGCAAAAGTGCAGGAACTCATTCTCCATAAAGTTTTAGCTTCACCTCTTACAAGGTGCCAAGGACACAGCTAAGAAAACGAATGGGTTCAGGGCTCGGTGGGCATTCGAGTAGTTTTGCGGCATCCTAAACAGCCACCCACTCACACGAGCCAAAACTTCAATTCCGGCAGCTGCAAGCAAGACATCTTTGAATCTTGTAGTGTGGTACAGCGACAGCACTACATAAGGAAACATTGGATTAAGAAAATGAGACTCTGGATTTGGGGATTGAGGGGTTCTCCTTAAAATACCAAGCGCTCTTAAAATGAAAACACCAGGGTACCCTCGTCCGAGAGTCCCATTTTCTTATTTCGCTCTGTATAATACAAGTGTGCGTAAGCATGGCCTGTGCTGTGCTTTCAGGGATCGCCCGGCTCCTCGTATTCTTTAGCTGGGTTCCAAAACAACACGAATTAAGAAAATGTCAGAGTCTCGTTTTCTTATTCTGGTGCGTTCTGGAACAAAGGAAAACAAGAAACTGCCAGAGTCTCGATTTCTTATCTAGGTGCGTTCTGGAACACAGGAAAATAAGAAAATGCC